GACGTCATATTTTTAGTCAATCAGTTTATTTTGTCCTTATGGAAAGCCTTTACTGCTCATCACAGACTAGACAGGCAAATTTGACCTTCGACATGATGCGTGTGAAAAGTGCTTCAGGAAAGTTGGGACTTGTGTGTCTTTCTAAGAGAGTCCATTTCAATGTTCTGGTGGATGATCACATGAATTTATGTACTATATCACAACAGTGACCCCAGCTGGACAACCTGAAATCTGAGATATAAAAAAGTAGATATACCTTTGTGTTTTGTTATTGGTATTCCTGCTTCACAACACAACTCCTCCCGCCGTGATCATACCTCCGACTTTTTCCATCACATCACCGAGAGACAAAAACCCACAGGCTTCCAGTGTAGACACTTTTCTCTCTGGCACGGCACTATGGTAGAGTTGGACGGATTAGATGTAGTATTTCAGTGTCAGAGGGAGCATCTGCACTGTCTGTGGCCGGCTTTATTCCTTCCCTGGCTCTTACTTTGTTCTTTTCTCCACTCCAGCCGGTCCCGTTGAGCTCGCTCTCACTCGAGAGCTTTCATGGGAATTGAGTACAGAGCGCCGGAGTGTGCAGGGTGAATACAATATGTTTCTCCCTCCGTGTGCTCTCACAAAGACTGGAGTGGCTTTCTTTTGTGGTGTTGCAGCACAAGCAAACTTCCACACGAACAGTGACACCGTGCTTTTCATGCGCTGTGAATGCAGCGATGTGAGTTGTGCACCCCCTGAGGCTTTCACAACATCTCAGTTAATGCAGATCTGGGACATTTTTCAGAGCATGGATGGGTTTTTTTCCCCTTCTTCCAAGGCTGAATATATTTCTACAGATACAAGCTTAGCTTCCTCTTGGGTAGTATTGTTCAAAACCTGAATTTATTTTCTTTAAAGAAAGTGGGATTTAGCTGACTTTGCATACCCAACAGCTAATAAGCTTAATAAATATGGTTCACTGTAGTCCAGAAAGCAAATATTAAGGAGCCCAGAGGTCTACGTAGACAATCGTTGGGTGTGTGTTTGGGGAAAGATGTGTAATTTTTAATTTTGCTGAAGGGACTATCTTTGAAGGAGGAGCAGTCTTGGCTTCGCATAGGATTTCAAGTGCCAAAAGGAAATTGAGTCAATGTGTAATAAATATCCAGAAATCCCTGCAGGAAAAATAAAAAGGAGAAACCAGTAAATTCAGTTTATAACAGGATCAAACACGCCGGTGGCAAACAGAATAATAAATGGGGGAAAATGAAGTAAGATCACTGGAATAAGGAAAAAACAGAAAATAAATTACATGTGCCTACTTCGAATTAAATTAATTCCCAATATGTAGGCTGACTCATTAATTTAGAAAGTCATAAATAGTAATGCCCAACTTAATTGTGTAAATGCATAAAATATTTATTGATGCCAGTTCTATTCATGATGTCTTTCAGACGGCGTGTGCAACATCCTCACCCTGAGAACAAAAGCTAAACTCAAGAACTCAGAAAAGTTACCAAAATGCAGGTTTCTGGAATCTGGACTGGAAAAGCTGAGTTCAGTTTAGGATTGTGGCTACAAACAAGGATTAAGTTATCAAAGTTGCAGACAAAGTTGCACCTACTGTCTTTTTTTGTTTGTTTGTTTTTGCTCATTCTCTTTGAACCATTTATGCTAGCCTTAGTTAGCCACTTATGATAACACTTAGCTAAATAGGTAAGCTAACCATTAGTTAGCAAGTTGTTCCAGTCTTCATTTAGCCTGTTAATTTACCTATTAGTTAACCAGCTATGCTAGTACTTAACTCTCTAAATCAACAATATGTTAGCCAGCTAAGCTAGTCGGGCAAGTTGGCTACTTCTGCTAAACAGCTAATTTCACCATTAGATAGCCAGTTCCTAGCATTTATTAAATTAATTCATGCATTCGTTTGTCAGGAAGACTAGCATTTAGTTAATTAATTAAGATAGCCATTAGTTCAGCAGCTATGCTAGTCCGGTATATTAGCCACTTCAGCTTACCAGTTATTTAAGAGCTCAAGCCTTCTCATTAAAATGTTGCTGGAGTCTTCACCTCAGCAGAGCTTTCTTTAGAAGTCAATTAAATGTTAATTTAGTCTTAATTAAGCAGTTGCGCAATTAAAAAACAAACAAAAACAAACAAGGGTTTCTCAGTTCAGTCCAATATTTGTGTGGACTCTTTCACAAGGCCACTAAAGAATCACAAAGCAGCAGTGCAGCAGTTCAAGCTCCATCAGACTGCCATGCAAGAGCCAGAAAGGTGATGGACCTGTAGACCCTTTCCTTTTACAAAGCTATTTCTAACAGCTCGCACAGTCGCTGTCTGACAATCCAGACACAGTTCATCTCCTGCAGCAGCAGGGGGTTTAAGTTTCATTTCAATTTTCTCCCCTTTTTACATGGCCAGGTTTCTACCAGGCTCAGCAGGGGTGAGAATCACTGTTCAGGGATTCTGCAGGGAGGAGAAGGAAGGCCATTGCTCGTGGCGCAGTGGCATTGGCTTTTTGGAAGTGCTGGAACTCAGCCCTCATTAACAACAACAAAAAACAACCAAAAAACCAAAACAGCAGTGGTATTATCCTATATTTTTATGTGCATAGATGTAGACTCCCACTCAAAAATCGTTGTGCCAATATAATGAATTTTAAAGCCTCTTAAAGAGCAATTCAGATTAAATTTAATTTAGCCGTACATGAGTAAGGATTGTTTTTCTATTTGAGCTCACCAATGTTTGCTAGCACGTCATTAATGCTGTAACTCTGGTCATTTTGGCTCCTTTTTGCTTGAAAAGTCTCCAGATATGTCAAACTTCAGCTTGAGCTGCAGTGCGATTTATACCGCTTAAACTTTTTCTCATTACCGCAAGAAACCTCAGAGTGTTTTATTATATCACATGACAGCAACACAAAATATAACATATCTAAATTGAAGTAAAATGGTATAAGGTTTTTAAATTTGACCAATAACAAGCTGAAAGGTGGGAGATTAATTGATATTCAGTCCTCTTTACTCCGACATACCTAAATAAAATCACCACAAATGTGAAAACTTGCAGATTTTATTTTTTAAAAGTCAACCCATTCAGCAATTATCTCCCAACACCTTTTCTTTACACTGCTGTATCAGGGTCATTAGAGGGCATGAGATTCTCCCAGCAGCCACAGGGCAGGAGGAACACAACACCATCCTCTGAGAGTTTAGTGGCCACATTTAATTAGTTGATAAGAAAAGTTTTAGTGATGATAAGAAGCAGCTTTATAAAGGCACATTTTGTAGCTAAAGCAGCTTTTGCAACAGCCACATCCTCATACGAAGCTGAGTGGTTCTATGAAGTACTGACCAAGACAATTCCTCTGATTCTGAATCCGAAATGTGAAAGCAATGGATCTTTTTTCTTAAACCTTCCAAATCAAAATCTGCGGAGGATCCTGTATGTGCCCCGGGGGTGATAGAGGCCTTTCATGCCTCGGAGGCGTTTGGCAGGCCTTTGCTGTTTAAAAATATAAAAATAACACAGCAGCGCTTTAAAGCTGAATGAACTGCGGGTAAGAGAAAAGTCTTGAAAGCTTTCTGACCCAGATCCAAGTTAATTTGCCAAGTAATACTTAGAGCTGATTAAAGTGACCTCTCCCTGCAGTGTGGCACCCAGAACTTCATAATTATTCCGTCTGGGATTGATCAGACACTCTATTACTAAAACAGAGAAGAGGAGGGAGAGGATGTCAAAGCTCATTTTTCATTAATGATTTGCTCTTTTAGCTCGCATATATTGAATACAAGATGATTGGTCTTTGAAATAGTTTTAGATCACAGTTCTTTGGATCCAACAATGAGGTTTGGATTTCCTTTCCTTCCATGATGGACAATCATTTCTAGCATCAGTTTTTAATGCTGATCCACATGGCCATTTTACTGAACCTGTTCAGTTATTTAAACAAATATATAAAACTAAATTACAGATTGAATGAATTTGGAATTTTATAGACAATAGAGTGGCTTGTATTACATTAATCTAAATGTGCTAGTCTTTTTTTTGTTTGTTTTGTCAGGAGTAACACTGCAGTGTTCCAGATTGTCCACGCGGTGGTGCTGTTGTACAACTATTTACATCAGCTGAAACCAAGTTTAGTTCATTAATTAGTTGTATCGACACTTATTGAATTCCTTTGCTAGTGATTTGCTGCAGCCTGGAAAAGAATTGTGGTATGGTTGGAAATCTTTCACAAAATTAAGTAAAATGAACCCTGAGTCATAAGGAAGCATCATCCTGGTGTTTGCCGTAATTTAGCATGTTCCTCTGGCTTTTTAAATATTATGTATTCAAAGGACAAAACAAGAGAATTCACAAAAATATACACTAAAATATTCATTGAAGTAAGCACTTTTGACACTTTTTGAATCCTATTTCGCGTCTGTTACATTTCTGGTGTCGTTTATAAAAGGTGTAGTGACGCTACATAAATACCAGGTGGCGTTTTTATTGGCCCTTTGATTTATGTCCATAGTAATGGTGCCATCATTTTTTTGTTTGCTTTTACAATCCAGCTGCACCTTATTACACATCTGCATGCATTTATAAAGTCTGCAGCACTAAATAAACAGCAGGTAGCCCTTTTAAGATTATTTATGTAATCCCAGATAGTGCTGGATAGAATATTTAGCGATCACCTGGTGGCGCTAACTCCGCGTCAGGTCGCATTTATCAGGCGCAGATTTGGCGCTAAAATAACAGCAAAGTGGCGCTGATTATGACTTGCCATAAACTAATAAAAACGTTCCTCCCTCACGGCAGCAGAAACGCATCTAACGTGGCAGGTTGAGAAGTGGGTCAGGAGCGATAAGGAGACTCGCGTGTTTCCAGCAGCGGGTGGAATCGATTGGCCTGGGTGTGAATTGAATGGCTGCTGCTCCTCCTGCGACCAATGGCTCAGCACCGGATGCGAGATATCCGCTGCAACAAGCACTCTGCCCCCCTCCTCTCTCTCTCTGTCTCTCGACGTCATGCACGGCCCAAATCCCGACCTCCTCTCCGGAAAGCGAGAGAGAGAGAGAGAAAAAAAACTAAACACATGAGAAAAAATAGCTACATAGTGTCGGATAAAACTGGAGTTTTGGTCGCTTTTCCTCCTGCTCTTTCTTTCTTAAAGGAGTCTGTTCAGATGATGTTTCAATGCCTCGTGTTCTGACGCACAACATGGGATTTACGTCGTAACGCGGCGCGTTGGGGGGGAAAAATAAGCGACGCCTGGAAAAGTTTCTCAATGGATTCTGCAGACTGCTGTCCCGACTGAGCTGCAGGGGGAAGGAAGGAAGAAACCGGGACTTAATTTACCTGAGCTGAAGCTAAAAGTGACGAAAACACGGTGAGTGTGAGCCTCAGATGGCACACGCGCGAACCTTTCGCTTTGTTTTTGTTTTTTACCAACACGCGCTTCTTTGTGGAATAACATCCAGCAGTAAGAATACGAGCTTTTCCTTCAGTCAGAAGTTCTTTGAAAACTTAATTTGTCGGTTTAATTTAAAAGAGAAGCTGTCTTCATAAAAAAGTTGCAGATTTTTCCACTTAAATTTCTGGTATTTTATGTGACTGACCAAAAATAAAGTATTGCATTAAACCCTGAAGAGGATTTTAAGTTCCCTTTAAATGTTTGGAGAATGTTTCTCCAAGTCTTCTTTCCAGATTTGTTCAAACTCTCTAGGATTAAATGGAGAGCATTTTGTAAACAGCCATTTGTAATTATGAGGTTTGCATCTGGGTCATTCAAACTGGAATATACTTTGATCCAAACCTGGAGTCTGTGCAGCATTAGGATTTCACATATTGTCCTGTCATCCACCTTCCCATCAACTATGACCATTTCAAGCGTTCCAGCTGGGCAAAAGCATCCCCACAGCACCATTCTGCCACCACTGTGGTAGAATGTGATGTACAGTGTTGGTTTATTTCTAGTATTGCGTGTTTTGCATGAAGACTATTTATAAGACTGCATTATGTTTACAAGACTGCATTATTCCACATATTTGCTGAGTTCGTTTCATGGGTCATAGCATTTATAACTAACAGGTTTACACTGTTCAACAGTTTTCTTCCTGATTTGTCAGATTGTGCACTAATGTTCGCTAACACATCAGTGACGCCTTTGCAGAACCGCTGGATTTATACCTGAATTAAATTATACACAGTTGAACTCTATATACTAATAATTTCAGAAAGCAAATGCCTGCACTGGTATTTTACGTACCAAAATCACACGTTATTCCTAGATCATTTTAAAATAAAAATCTACTTTTCTCTCCACTGAGTGATTATGCACATGTTTGTATGCTCCTATTTTACACCATCATCACCCCCTGCTTTTCCTTCCCACCCACTGTGGTCAACATGGCCTGCACTCCAGCCCCCAGAAATAGATGAGGGGGCCAACACTCTGACAGCCGACAGCCTGAACATGCCTGCAAACCCCCGGTTGCTGGTTGCTTTGCAACTTTGTGCTCTGTATGTTTGCCCTCAGACTAAAATCGTAGATAATTGTCTTTTCCTTAACTGAATGAAGCCTGTCTTCAACCAGCCGACTGGTAGCCTCTACACTGCTTTATGCTCCAGACAGATGTAGAAAACTTCTACATCTGTTTGCTCTGCTTCTAGGAATTTATTAAAAAGACTCAAATGTACGGCCAGATATTTAAGTGTTTTATAACTTTATCTGGTCCATACCTAATGAGCGTAAATAATTCTATTTAAAGGCCAGTATTTTGCATTATTCAACAACATTATTACAATTAGTCAATATTCTATGCAGCGAAAAAACAAAAATATGATCTTTCATGTTAAAACACTTCTGTGACCAAAACTCATATCAAATTTCTAATGGAAATGATGTAAAATATAAAACCTTTACAGTCTAAATCAACTATTGTTCGAGGTTTTATCACTGTTACTGATTAGAAAACCTAACTTCCACATGAAGTGAGCTTATATGCAACAATACGTGTGTGGGCACAAAAAGGAAATTGACCAGGATCGGACGTGTTGCTTAGGTGCAACAAAATAGATAACAGAAAACAACAAATTAACCAGAACTCTGGTGAATGTTTCCTCCCACTGGTCGAGTCCGACCAAAACCTAAAGTCTTATCACTCATCTTTTTGACAGCATAGCGATGCAAAAATGGGGTCAAGAAAAGGGATGATTGTCATGCATCATATATAATTATTTTACTCAAAATAAGCAGTTCAGTGTGCCGATAGAACTCTCTACCCAGATTTTCTTGCTGATATGCAATATTTAGAGTGGTAGAGTTGGTAGAGTTGGACGTCCATGTGTCAGAGCTTTCTGTTGAGTCTTCTCTTTGACTTGTATCTGTCTTTAGTATGGCTTCCTCCAACGCTCAATAAAACCGTGTGAAAAACCTGAACTTTGATCACCACAAATTGCAGTCAGAGAGGGAAAATTGATCCCATTCAGCTTTAGATTAGAAATCAAATGGCTTTTCTTTCTCTGTGTAGGTGTGTGTGTGTGTGTGTAGTTGTTATTTTTACATGTATCAAATGAAACAAGATTAAAGGTGAGTATTTTTAAGGCTTCATCAAAGAGAAGTACGAGAGTACAGGAAGGGAACTTTTTTTTGTCTTTGATAATGGTTATTCAAAGCTGTCACGGTTGAAGGAAAGCAGGAAGTTTTCAACAAACAGCCTTTAGGGAAGCATCTGCATGCAGATGAGATATTGCTTCTAAAACATAAAGCCTGGTTGTGGAACTCGCTGTGGCCCCGAGCAAACAAACTTCCCTGTTTCTGAGCGCACACAAAGAGCCTCTGTAGCTTGTGGCTCTGGAGACTCCACTCTCGTGTCAGACTCTGAATCTGGTGGTCCAAACAGATGGTGCCTCGTGGCTTTTAGGTTGTTTGAACAACTATGTAATCAAACGGATCCATCTCTCCGACGAACACTGACCTGTGTGTGGGGCTCATTTTCATAGCAGTGCTTGTGCAGATATCTGTTATTATTTGCATGCCGTTATTTGCATGCCATGTCTAGCATGGATAAAAACGTTCCGTCTCTCCAACAGGAATTCAGATGTGTCCCCAGCCAGCTAGAGAGGCCCTTCAGTCCAAAGATGGATTCCAGAAGTCAGAACGACAGCGACGGAGGAGGAGGACGCCATGGGGGGTTGCCGTCATTGACTGGATTGGCGAACATGGCGCATGACGAAGGTAGAGCACAATCATGGTCTCTGCAAACCCTAGATGCGCCGTCAGATCTTGGGCTGAACTGCAGGTTACGGCCACACACTCCACCGGTGTTGTCTCTGGATCAGATAAGAATAAGCGGTGGTAGTAATGAATATACAGACGGGCCGTCGGCTGCTCAAAGGTCTCCGGCCACCCAGCAACGGAAGACAGATGTGGTTACATCAACAAGTTCAAGGACCAATGGACAGCAAGAGACCGAGGAAGAGATGTCCGATAACCTCCGCAACCTGCATTCAGTGACTCACCAAGGGACTGCAAATGCTCCCATCTCTTCAAGAGAGGGTGTGTCTCAGTCTTCCAGTGTGGAGGACTCCCAGAGCAGCGTACGCACCAGCGCAGGGAGCGGTTCTTCGGGTCAGCGGCTTCTCAGCAGCCCAGTGAACAGCAACGAAATAATCAGAAACCAGCCCAAACGAGCTGATCCAGAGGAGCTGAAACCCCTAAACCCAGAGTACAGAGACATAGAAGCGATTCCAGGCAGCAGGAAGCCTTTAAAAAAGGACAAACACTCCAACAAATGTGAGTCCTGCGGTCGGTGCAAGTGCCCAGAGTGTGTCCAGCCGAGAGTGCTTCCGTCCTGCTGGATGTGCGGCCAACGCTGCCTGTGCTCTCCAGACAAGGCCGTGGAGTACGGGACATGTGCCTGCTGTGTGAAGGGCATTTTCTACCACTGCTCCAACGACGACGAGGACACCTGTGCGGACAAGCCCTTCTCATGCTCTCAGTCGCGCTGCTGCATACGCTGGACGACCATCACGCTCTGCTCCATACTCTGCCCTTCTCTCTTGTGCTACCTCCCAGGTAAGGGATGCCTGGCCATGTGCCAGTGCTGCTACGACCGAGTCACACGACCCGGCTGCCGATGCAAGAACTCAACCCTAACCCGCTGTCACGACGACAGCACAGCAACGTAGGCCAGGATGAAATGGGACATTGATCGACCAACTCCACACTGAGTGAACTGCAAAGTGTCTAGTTGCACAATTTGAGCCATATAATCGTGTCATTGTGGCAGTTGTCTTTATGTCAGAAAAGGCTTCCATGTGTCTACTCTGAATGCAAATTTACTAAAAGAAATGTTACTGGTAAAGGCACTGGAGGTGCATTTACTCACCCTAGCATTAGGAGTTTCACTTGAATGGTCAACCAAAATAAGCACTCCACATTTCAAGGTATGGCATCTTATTTAACTACTGTTATATCTCTTCACTCAAGTGCCGTGACATTTCCTAATACAGTCCAAGCAGATATCTTTGAGGTTTTAACATTTGATACAAACTATATTCTAAAAGCTTCTGCTACTAACTGTATGTAACGTAATAATGGAAAGGGGATGTATAATAGAAAATGACAGATGTTTTATTTTTGTGTGTGTGTGTGTATATATATATATAAATATATATATATACTTCAACTGTGAAAGGTTTTCTGCCATTAGAGGCACCTTGATGAATCTGCATCAGCTCCCATTTCTACAAAGTTTCTGCATTCACTGGAATGTCTACCAATCATATTTTTAAATAATTCACAATGTTACAGATCTTAACCCTGATCCCAGCTGTAAATTGTACAGTGATCTTATTATCTGAAAAAAAAAGTTTCTAATTCCAAAATTTCCTAGTGTAAAGTAAAAAAGATATATTTATTTGAAGGTTTTAATATTTTATTATGACAGATATTTATTTTGAGAAAGCATTGTTAAAGGCCTCCTCTGTTGCTTGGCAGATTCGACACAAATAGCTCACTATGGATTAGAAGATGAATATATTAATGTATAAAATTAAAAATCCTTGAAGTCTAACTGAGGAGTGTGATTTTTATTGATTGTATTGAAAGGTTTCTACGACCGAAATGAAACAATGAAATGTCCCTGCTGTGTGAATCACATTCCTGTTTTCACTGCATTTTTCTCAGCACAGAATAATTGCTTCTTTTTTTTTTTATTAACCAAAAAAGAGAACAAAAACAATTCAATGCCTGCTTTTGATTGCGTTGATGAAAATGACATCACAGCTTCTTTTAAAAAGAATTTGAATGTATTTAACTCACTTTTTCTCGACAAATCTCTTTATTTTCTATTCCCTATAATCGTAGTTTTTTTTGGGAATTGCTCTTGCGGATGTCCCTGCAGGCGGAACATGAAGCTCCTCACACTTGTTGACAGCGTGCGGACATGTTTGCAGGCCGGTGCGCATTCAGAGCTGTGATTGACACGTCGAGGCCAACTTGCTCTCGCTTGTTTGAAGCGCCTTTGACTGACGAATGCTGAAAGAGGGCTGAGCGGGGCTCGGGGGGGAGAGGGGATGTTTTACATAATTATCAACATTCACCCATTTTACAGAAGGCGTTGGAGGAGACAGGGGGGCGAATAAATAAATAACGGGTTGAATCCCATTAGAGGCAGAAAAGGCAGAGCTGATCTGGTGTTTAGTCTTCGCAGCCCTCCTCTCCCTCCGCATTGTCTCAGCAGTGAATGAAGAAGGGAAATGCGAGTGAGATGGAGGGGGGCTAAGGTCGTTTGGAAGAGGGTCCTAAGGGTTAAAAGCGTCACTTTGAATGACAAAGACCAAACAGTTTACCCCGTATTCAGCCCGGCATGCATTCATCCTGTTCTCAATAGTTTGGGGGTTATTTTGGCTCCTCTCTGGTACCTGCTACCACTTGGTATTCCCATAGGGAGACGGTGGGGTTGTTGAGGAAAGAGGGGTTGGGGGGAATCACTGGATGCACACTGTTGGTTGTTTTTTCTGGCAAAAAAAAGAAAAAGCAAAGTTTTTTCAGGTCCTTTTTAAATTTTATCTCACGTAGATTATCCAAAGAGAATTATTCAACTGATAGAAAAAAAACTGGTTCGGTGAAAAGATTCGTTTATCCATCGAGAAACTGCAGTAATTTGGCAGGAGGAGGATGGGATATGAACTGGAAAGAGAGACCGTTGGGGGGGGCAGCTCTCTTTGTTGGTTTTAGCCACCGTGGCCCCTGCGGTTCATGGTGTTGTGGGGCAAGAGCGGCTCATTCACCCTGCTCACCAAGGCAGAACGCAGCACAGGAAGACAGGAAGGAAGCGGGGCTATTCTTTATGGAAGCATTGTCTGTCCGTCTGATGGGGCCAGGCTTAAGCAATCAAACAGCCCTGTGAGAGATGAGAGGGAGAGTAGGGAGGTGACGGCCCACCATTTGCCTGGCAATGACAGAGATGTGCTTTTTTTATACCAAAAAAAAAAAAAAACAATAAGAAAGCAAAACGTACGCATCTCTTTCTACTTCCTTTTGCTGGTCAAATTTGAGAGAAAATCAGAACGCCACGAAGAGAAAAGGTCAACCCACAACCTGAGTCGACTTTAACTTCTCGGTTTAAAAACTGTAACAGGAAAAACAAACGGCAAGAAAAACTATTTTTCTATTTTTATAGAAAATAAATAATTTTCTTTGTTTTTTATTCTCTAAGGTAGGGGTGCCAAACTCATTTAAGGTAGAAATTAAACCAATTAACAAATGAATAAATAGTGGCAGCTGTTGGGTCTTAATAGAAAATAAATATTTTACATATTTTAGTTTTGCAGGATAGAAAATAATAATATTTAAGCACACAGCTGTAATTTGAAAAGGCTCTATTTTGAGATTTTAAAGGGCCAAAAACAACAGCAAAAAAAACCAAACTTGTGGATTTGCCCCAAAGGCCTCGACACCCTCTATTTAATTCACACAGCAGGTTTAAATTTATCCTTTTCTCCTCCCAAATATTCTTCTAAGTAAATAAAGAACTTAGAAGAAAGCGCAAAATAAATTAAAATTACCCCACAATTTGAGGCATTGTGTATTTTAATGTCAATAGAAACTATTTCAGTAGCAGAAACAAAGAGGGTTGAGTTCAAGAGATCTCACCTCTAACACAAAGTTGAATTTCTGTACGAACAAAAAAGAGAAGCAATTATTTCATTTTTCACATTTTCTAAAAGTAGCTTAAGGTGAAAAGAAATTATGGACGAAATGAGACTGGAGTACGACTGTCACTAAAAAACAAATCGGCTCTTTTCTGCTTTTGCTACGTCAGTCCAAACTTTGTGCTACGAAGTCGGGTCAATAAATCCATCAGAGGCGCTTAAAACCAAAGAGGGAGGGGAAAAAAAACAATAAAAAAAAAGATAAAATCTCACACCTATCTCGTCTCTACCGGTGAAAATGTTTTCTCAGAAGCTGATCTTTTTTTTCTTTTTGTTTTCCGATGTGGGCGGCTGAGAGATGCATGCGTGTGGAGCTCAAAGCCAAAGCGCAACCCCCTCCACCACCTGAGTGTGGTTTAACTTTCCACTGAGCTTGTCCTCTGCTGCTGTCGCACTTTTATGCTTTCAGGCAAAGTTGAGTTTTGGGACTGGAATTGGATGAAATTTACCGGCTCACAATTAATCTCAACGCTCCCTTTTGGGGAGTAGAGATAATCATTTCCGCAACATTTGCGTCCGAGTTGAATGATGTGCTGCTTTTTAATTCGAAACCTAAACCTGCAGCAGCTCAATCGGTCTCCATGACAGCTGAACTACTGTTATGCCTTAAGAAAGAAGATTACAGCAGCCATGAAAGCAAACAGACACCGACTTGAGAGTGCATCTGCCATAAAGGTTGAGTGGGTGTGTATAAGACAGAGGGCGTGCAAAAGAGGACGCCATGCAAGCAGCAGGCGAATCTTTGCTCAATGTGGAAAGCGGGCAGCAAAAAAAGAAAAAAGAAAGAAATCTGGCGTGCGTTCGTCCTGATAAACTCAACCGCTGGCGTATTCTTGCACACGTGTGCAAGTCTCCCCCCTCGCACAACAAAATCTCCCACTGGAGGCCCGAGTCTAATGGCAGCACTTAACTTCAATCCACCACAGGAAGTCGGTTCATCTACATGCCTTTACACACACAAACACACAGCATCGGTCCGCTGCTGACAGCCAGTGGATATTTGTTGGCGACGCGGAGGCTGCAAGGCTCTTTACAGCTTAGCGGCCAATTGTTGTTCACCCAGACACATACACACACACACACAGACCCCCACACACACACACACCCATACACACACACTAAGAGCTCAGAGCTTCAGTTGTTATCCTGAAAGGCAATCCTGATCCCTCTGCAACACAGTAGGACAGACGCACATTAAAAAGAGGAATTAGTGTGGTCTGACAGCTCACTATAACACATGGCACTTAGCTTGTGGATGTGAACGTTTGTGGCAATTATGTGTGTTTTGGGGAAGGTCCGTTCGCATGTGGATGCATGTGTGTATGTAATCAGGAACAGACTGCGAATTATATAGTAAAGGTTTGCATACAGAAAGAATAGTAGCTATTTAGCGTGTGCAGCGTTAGCCAAGCACAGTTTGCATTCATGCAAATGGAGAAATGGGCAACTTGGAGACAAAATGGTGACTTGATCAATTTGAGACCTGATGTTATAGGAAATGAAATTACAAAACAAAAATCTAAGTTTTTTTCCCCCCTTCTAAAGTGTGGTTCTGTTGATAATTAGTAAATTGTCAATACATTACCAACAAGTTATTACCACCAGGGATTTTCTGACAAAAATGCATTTTAAGTCCTTCTGAAAACAGCACCAAATATACTGGATTTAAAAAATGAAATAAAAGCAGGTCAATTATATGATGTTGATGTTAAGACCATGTATTTTTATGGCTCAGGTGTTTGACTGTTAACACTACACACTATATTGGCTCGAGCCAACAAGTTTTTACATATCCATTTTTTCTCCAGAACCCAATTTGCAAACCAGCTGCCCTGTTGTGCACGCGTCTCATTCGTCCCCAATGACATCATATAAACGCCAAACCTGAATGGCGCCATTGAGACCCAGGTAGATTTATTCAAATTTGAACATAAGTGGAAAGAGGGTGAGAACATTTTCAAGTCAGATCTTACTAGATAACTAGATTACATACGTTTTTCTTCCAAAACAATGCTACAGAAAACAAAGTTTAGTTCATACAGTCTAGCAACAGCTGTGCTGAGATAAGGTGTCACAATCTTTTCCTCTAGCTTTAGACCACGTATTATTTAGAAGAGTGGTTGCCAGTTTTTTTTTTATTAGTTATTTAAGACAATATGTTTTTAGTTTAAATCTGAAGCAAACCATTTTTATGTCCTCTCTCTCTCTCGCCTGGAGGAAATGGAGATCTTGGGTCTGTCATGCAGCTATGAGAGCCCTGCGAGCCACAGGGTCTTGTTACCGTTCACAGGTGCGGCGTGCTGACAAGCTCATGATGACAGCAAAGCCAAGGTGCGCTGGAGTGTGTGCGCGCTCGTACATATGGAAGTGTTTTCCCAGCCCGAGGACAGAAATTTGTCAATGGCTGCAAAGATTGTCAACATGCCTGAAATTCCTCTAGACTCCAAACAACTGGTGACAAGTTTGGAGGCTCCAAAGAAAGAGGGAGAGGCTTTCTCGCCAAAGTTTTCCACTCTGCAAGAGCAGGTGAAACTTTTCCAAAAAAACTTTTCCAAAAATAAAGGGCCTACTGTTCTTCTTTACAGCCATGATATATGGAGAAATGTCAACATTTGTTTAATGCTTAAGCTGAATTGCACCTGGTCAATAGGATTTTTCCAGAAACATGTGGCGTCTAAAAAAGGTTTCTAATCAAAATTTCACATTCTATTAATTAACCAATAGGTAGGAGTAATGGGGGGAAATCAACTAGTCCTCAGGAATCAGACCAAATTCCCAATTGGATACTGAAGGCCAATATGCACATATGGGATGTTGTTTCAACTTTATGAGTTCAGTAAAAATATTCATAAAATTT